CCCCAAAACCCCAAAACCCCAAAACCCCAAAACCCCAAAACCCCAAAACCCCTGTCTTAGATAAATTTATTGAAGAATGCTTACAATACAACCTCTTCTCCACAGCAAGGGCACTTCTTAGATTCTTCTAGGCAACGGTCTATACATTCAGCATGGAAAAGATGGCTTCAAGGGAGTCTTTTAACCATTGCTGCTATTTCTATTTTATCAATTCAAACAGGGCATTCTTCGTTATGAGAAAAGTTGCAGGTAGCCCCTAATTTTAGAAGCTCCGTCTTCGAATACCCCCTACTCACAGTCCCAATCTGATCTCCCAGTTCTTGAAGCTGCTCGTACGACATCGCGTCAGGATTCGGAACTTCCCTGATACTTTCCTGGATGGCCTGCTCCAGCTGGTCGTTGTTGTCCAGAGGAGGGCCTGCTCTCATGAGGGCGGCTTCTTGAGCCGAAGACTGTAGAATAAGCTCCAGCATTCTGTCGTCTGTCAGATAGTCTCCAGGATTTGTATTTTCTAAAAATGATAAATAACTTATTTGAAGAAAACTAGATTAAATATTTGCAAGTATTCTATCTTTTCAGGAATTAAACAATATATAATCTTTCCTTAACTAGGTCGTTAGGGATGAAATATAGAGAAGAAATCATCCAAGGTTCTTCTGTACAATTAGGCTAAATTATGGGCTCGCTCAAATGATACTTTAAAAGATCAAACTTGATAAAATTAGAGTTAATCTTTAACGAATGATAAATTTGCTTCACTCCATAGTTGGCAAGTAATCATTTGAAGTTGGACAAGAAAGATAGATTTTTTGAAATAATCTATCATTCAGAACTTGAGCAAAATAGAAGCTCATAATTGTTCTAAATTTCCAAATTACCTGAAACTTTCTTGTCTAAATGAGGAACCCTGGCTCCATGAGCCATGGATCTTGGATTTCCCATTCCTCCTCTCTTGTTCTTAGCTTCTTCATTCTTCTTTCTGTTTAGTTGTCCTTCGAGTACCCTATTTCTAGCTTTCAACGAATCATTTTCTCTTGTGAGCTTCATAATTTTGTTATTTTTTTCTCTATTCTGTCTCTCAAGAGCAGCCAATTTTCTCTGCAGATCTTTTATATCAGAGGTAAAAGGGTTAGCAGAGGTGCTTGAATCAGGAATTGAAGCAGCAGAGCTAACCTTGGACTCTTCAACTTCGAAGTCTCTTTTGGCTAAAAGGGTTTTTGAAAATTCTTACCTCTAACTCCTGATGTTCCAGCACCTGGTGTTCTCTTGCTCTTATACTTTGGGTTGCCTATATTCATAAAATAATTGCTTACTTTTAGGTGGACCTGGATAGAGAGGTCTCCTTTGGAAGCTATAATCTTTACTCTTTGCGTTCATAATTCTTAATTATATAATCAATTGCTCTTTAAAAAGTAGGGGTTTTGGGGTTTTGGGGTTTTGGGGTTTTGGGGTTTTGGGG